AGGAGACCAGTTCTACCATCTTGCTCTGTGTGGAAGGAGTGAATGTATGGGATGGGTGTAAGGTATCCTGATAATGGCCTCAGACTCAAGCTGTCTAGAAAAAAATCAAGGTTGGCCCTCAGGGAATGCTCCTGCTGTGACCTTACCTTCCAGTGTTAACTTGTCTCATGAGTCTGCTGCAAATATGGTTTCCTTCTCTCTGGGTGCAGGGCCTTGTTTGAAGGGCAAGCAAGGATGCAGAGAAGGAGCAGAAGGACTGACTGCTGGCTCTGACGCTGAGTCCAGCCAATTTGGCTTGGCCTCTCCTGGACTCACCAAGGCTCTGATTCATGGGGTGCCAAGGCCAAACACATTTGAGTGACAGTGGCTTCCTTTAGCCTTGCCCTCACCAGTTCCGTGTTCCCTTGTCCCAGAACAGTTACTCAGCAAATGCCCGCTGTCCCCCGTCACCAATCTGCAATGTACATGCCTGCTTTTCTTCCCATGGTGGAAACCAGCCAGCTTCTCTTCAGTCTCTGATGTGCCTCCCCAACCCCCATTTAGGCCAGGGTTTCTGTTAGCTCTTTCTGCTGAGGCGAGGAGAGGCATACGGGTAAAGGGATGGAGCCTGGGGTCTCACCAACGGATTCCATCCAGGCTCCGAGGGCCCTGCCATGGCACGGGCCCTTTGAGAACGCTGCAGGTCTGTGAGATGGATGTAACCAGGCAGGGGGTATTGAAAGGTCAGAAGTCCTTCCAAGCAGGCTGGCAATGTCCTCTGGAGTCCTGCCAAGGCTGGGGACATGTGTGCACAAGAAGGAAAGATAAACTTCAACAGGTGCTTCTGTGGAGGTGAACAGAAGTTCTGTGAACTCCTTTTTCATCCCTGAAAAAGAGTTGAGGGGGCATAGGAAGAATGGACTGAGTCCCACATCCCACAGTTGGAAAGGCTGACTGGAAGTGCCAGCAGACCGCAGAGCCTCATCTTCAGAGACTGCACGGCAGCAAAGCTATGGCTGGTGGGACCTCCTCACAGGAAGTGAATGAATGAATGGATGACCCCTCCAGCTGTTTTGCCGGTTGCTCTGGCATTTCTGTGTCTGGAGCCCCAGTAGAGGTGCTCTCAAGAGACTCCCTGTCCAGGGGTGTACTGAGTCAGCAGAAAGCACAGGGCCTTGCAAGAGACCGTGGGAAATGTGTTCCCCCAACCTGGGCTAATAGGGGAAGTTCCTGGCCACAGCGGGCTTCCCTTGAGGAAGGACCTGGCTCCCACCACTTCCATACCCTCCTACGTCAGGGGACTGAGGGCACTGTGGTTCAACAGCCAGCCCTTGAACAGTTTTGGGCAGCAAGCGGAGCTGCAGGCAGGCTCATTGGAAATCAAGGTTGGCTTGTAGAGGACCAGAGGGTGCTTCTGGGCTCCGGGTGTCGGAAGGACCCCCAAGCCCTCAGGTGGGAAGGGAACAGAGAAGACCTTTGCTTCAGCCTCAGGCTTCTGACACCATAGCTCTGCTACCATGTGAAGAGCTAGTTTTTGTTTTGTTTTGTTTTGTTTTTTTCTCCCTGAATTCACCATTATCTCGGTGTATGGCTCTCACTCTGCCTCTCTCCCTCCTGGCCTACTGATGTCTCCTGTGCATAGAATGCCTGGTCGGGGGGGGGGGGGCGGCTTCGGAACCCATACCTCCTACTCTCCTCATGGGTACCATTTGTCTGGGAGGAACATGAACAAGGAGAAGGCTAGGCGGGTCTAAGTGAGTCGTAAGAAAACCCCTGGTACCAGAATAGTCATCGATATCTCCTCTGTCGTCAGCCTGGGCACAGAGGCTAAGCTTAGAGTTACCATACGAGACATCAGCTTTCCACTGTAAGGAAATCACCGTGGGCCAGTGCCAGGGTCCAGTTATCTGAGGACAAAGGGGCGAGGGACAGAGAAAGAGCTGCCAAGAGCCCCCAAGGTTGGGTAGGGGTGTACCAGAGGCCATGCAAAGAGTCCCTTCTTCTAGATAGGGCTGGCCAGAGGGCTATCCTCTAGGGGGAGATGTTGCTATTTTACTGTTTGCCAGAGTATGCAACAAGCCTGTCTGGGCCTGCCATGCCTGTGTGACTAGGACCTTGGCTCTGGTCCCACACTGAGCCTGCTGGTTGGTTCCTGGGATAACTTCATCTTGCAGTGAGGTGGGCAGCCGGGGAGACAGAGGCTGCCTGGCAGGAGGAGGCAGGGGCAGGCATCTGAGTTAAAGCTAAGTGAGCAGGGTGGGGTTGGCCTAGGTGAAGGGATACCCAGCTGGTCTCTGGGCAGGTAACATAGGTTGGGCCAAGTGACACTGGCTGAGTCACGTCCCATGTTGACAGGTTGCAGTGCGGGCATGAATCAGCCACAGCTGAGCCCCAGGAATAGAGCCTGGGGAGGGCAGCTCTCTGATCCTGGTGCTCTTGTAGGATCGGTCTGGGTCTGTGGAGTGACAGAGAGCTTGTGTTGTAGAGGCAGCTGTTCTGTCCCTTAAAATGAAAGGACCGTCCCTGCTACTGCCTGCTGGGGTCTATCTGGGCTGCTGTACCAAAGACACCGTGAATAGGCCGCAGAGGAAAACTTTGTCACTGTTCTGAAGGTTGATGTCCAAGATCAGGGTGCCTGAAAGTTCGGTGTCAGGTGAGGGTGACTTTCTGCTTGGTAGATGGTGTTTCGTTGCTGAGTCCTGACTGGGTGAAGGGAAAGGAGATCCTCTGGTGTCCCTTCTATTAGGGCCCTGTGTTTATTGTTTTTCTCACAACTATGAACAAAACATAGCAGACTGAGAAGCGACTTCAGTAGGTGAGGGTTTATCTTGGCTCCCAGTTGGAGGGGCACACAGTCTTGTCACAGTAGGAAAGGTGATAGCAGCAAGCATCTGAGGTAGCTGGCCCGTCAGGGAAAAGAGATGGATGCTGGTACTCAGTTCTCTTTCTCCATTGTGCTCAGTCAGGGACCCCAGCCTATGGGATGCCATCCTCCTTTAGAATGGGTCTCTCTCTAATTCAGCCAACCAAGTCTAAAAACACAGACACAACCAGATGCTTGTTTCCATGGCAATACCAAATCCTGTTAAGTTGACAATCAGGATCAACTTTCAAGGACCTTACCTCCTTTCTGAGGGTGCTCTCTTGTCACCGTGTTAGCTCCCATCCCTAGTAACAATCTCCTTGCAAGTCAGGAATCAACACATATGATTGCGGTGGGGGCGGGGGGGAGACACACTTTTGGATCACGTCACTGCAGTAGGCATACTGACTTCTCGCTTGATGTCTCTGTCCCAGGACAGGAAGGTGAGCATAGTGGCTCCTGTTGACCAGCTCTGAGGATAAACACTGTCCAAGATGGAGATGCCAGAGTCCGGACCCTCCCTCCACTTCCCGTCTCTTGGATCCACACGGTCCAAACAAAGCACTCCTGATTCAAGGTGCTGAAATTGAGACACGCTACCAAGAGTGGATCCAGGGAGCTGGAGGGGGACATAAGCCCCCAGGAGCCAATGGGATTCAGTTTGTGGGCCCCTCCAGGGACTACAAACTGTGCTATGGGCTTCCGAAACGTGGCCTGGCTGAGGATATTAGTATGGGCATGAGGGTGGACATCAGGGAGAAAGAAGATCTGTGGGACCACCTCTTTGGGGCTCATGGAGGCTCATCTTCCCCTATAGAGGCCGAGTACTGGAATCAAGGTAGAGCACAGGAGTTGGCTTCTAGGCTCAACACCATAGGTCAAGGTTTGGTGGAGGTAAGACTGAGGGGTGTGGTTGAAGAAGCTACCTTGATCCTTCAGGAAGCTCTTGTGTGTCCTCGGCATACCACCCACCACCACCTGAACTCACAGGCTGGCAGAGGGTGGTTTCTCATTTTTTCCCTGTACGTAACTCTCTTGGTATTGAGCCTCCCTGGAAAACTGCTCTTGTCTGCCTGGCCGCTTGGCTTTTCCTGGACACCCAGTCTCAGTAAGACACTGAGAGCTCAGGTTCCCAGAATCGCCTTCCTAAGGCCTCATCCTTGGCCTTCCTGCAGAGCCGGCCACCCCAGCTCCCCTTAAGGGCCCCTGCTGGAATGAGCCCCACACAGTTGGACACCCTGGTCAGGAATCTGCCACAGCCTGAAGCACCTCCTTCCCAACTGTGGAATGAGGATGTTGGTGTCAGCAGAATCTCAGGGTGTCTGTGGCCCACTTAACAGTGAGCTCCAGTTGACAGCTGCGTGACTTTGATGCCGACCCTCGGGATTAGTACATGTGTTATAATTAACTCTGCTGGGAGGGTGTGGACTCTGGGGTCAGCCAGGATGCCCGAGGTTGCCTGATTAAGAACAAGAGCTACCCCAAGCCGTGAGACCAACTGTGACCATAAAAGGCTTTCTTTGGACACTTTATTTAAAGACCGACACCAACTAGCATAGACCTTCCTCTGGTGGCCTTGGGAGCCCGCTGAGGGTAAATCTGATATTTTGGTTCTTCACTCCTGTTCTGTACCTGTCAAAATGCTTCTGGGGGGCTGGAGAGATGGCTCAGTGGTTAAGAGCACTGGATGCTCTTCCAGAGGTCCTGAGTGCAATCCCCAGCAACCACATGGTGGCTCACGACCATCTGTAATGTAACCTGGTATTCTCTTCTGGTGGCAAGCATGCATGCAGGCAGAACACTGTATACATAATAAACAAATCTTTTTTTTTTTTTAAAGTGAAGTGATGTTAGTTCTTGTGTGATTGAGTACACTGTAGCTGTCTTCAGATACCAGAAGAGGGCACCCGATCCCATTACAGATGGTTGTGAGCCATCATGTGGTTGCTGGGAATTGAACTCAGGACCTCTGGAAGAGCAGTCAGTGCTCTTAACCACTGAGCCATTTCTCCAGCCCGAAATAAAGAAATCTTTAAGAAAAATCTTCTGGGGAAATTCACTTTGCAGACTTCCCTCAGACCCTCCTGGAGGCTACAGAGCCAGGCTGCCACTGGCCACATAAGCAGCCTGTACACGTCCCTCTGACCACCTTTCATTCTCTCCGAGGTCTCTTTGGCGTGAATCCCTAGGACTGCTGAGAGTCTGAGCCTCCTGTGGCTCCCTTCACACTGGGTCAGAGAGATACAGCTGCTCACAGAACGACAGGGAGATTCTGCCCCTCCTTTGGCCAGACTGGGGCTATGGTGGGTCAATTTCTATACTTTCATTAAGTTCAGGGAAGCAACAGGGCCTTTCCCTAACTCTCTCACTCTCTCACTAGGAAGCTGGCTAGCCCGGGCTGGACCTTGGTTTGAAGCAAGGAGATCCGGTACTGTGAGGGTGCCAGGAACATATTGCTCAATTTCCGGCAGGCTTCTGTGATGTGGGTGGTCACGGGGGTAATAAGCAACAGAACTTGGCAGACCTCAGAGCCCCCCACCCTGCCTCTCTGGGGTACAGGGGTCGCAGGGGCTGAGTATGCTGTAGCAGAAACAGCTATCCCGCTGGCCCGTGAACAGGGCTGGAAGTGGGTTCCAGCTGTGGACACATCACAGGAAAGCAAAGGTAGTAAGTCACAACAATAAGAGAATCCTTTGTCCCTGACAGCCTGTCCTGGAACACGGAGGGGATTTGCAAAGATGGGCTAGATCTTTACTGCGCGCGCAACTTGCAACTTCCGGGCTCTTTCCCACCACCGCTTTTCGACCCAGGCCAAGAGCGGGGAGACCAGTGAGGACTGCTAAGGAATGAGTTCCAGGCCGTCAGAATGCTGATCGCGCACTGTTCTTGTCACGGGTGTTTGTGAATTTACCACTTGCTAAAGTATTTCTGTAACTCTAAATCAGTGCTCACGCAGCTTCGTGGACCCCGGGGTGACAAGCTTGAGAGCCCAGTGGTGACGTCTGACACTCGTTTCCGATTGAGGCCAAACATTCCTGCTTAGCTCATAGTGTAAATATTTCCCCAGTCTATTTGGAGCCACGTGATTAGCATTTCTGGGCTTTATGGTGGTGATTTGGCACATTGAGGGTGGGGGGCACCACGGGCAGGATGCTGTAGCTGTCTAGTGCTCTGAGCACCCATGACCACGTGACTCATAGAACCCTGTTAAAGGTACCAGTTTCCGGTGGAGTTCCAGAGCTGTTGCTGTGAGCTGACTTCTATGCTAATGACCCGGCAACGTGGACCAACAGGTGTCTTCTGACCGGAATGCATATCAAACCAAGTTGTGTGTGCTCATGGGTTGGTGGGAATGTCGTCCAACTGGCAGCAACAATTCAGTATCCTGTAAATGAGTGCTAGCCTCCATGGCTAATGAGAACTCACTCAGGCGAAACAGGAGACCTTCTGCCCAACCGCAAGGACCAGGTCACAGGCAGCACACGAAGCTCAGATTCATACTGGGCAGGTGACTGTGCCCACTGATGCTTCCTGTCTGGGGAGACCTAGCTGGGCCCTAAAGTCATTTTATACACTTTTACCTTTTCCTGGAGACACACCCACTGCCTGAGCTACCTACACTCCTGGGCTGGCCCTCTCTGCTTGTTCCCAGCCAGTTCTGGTCCACAAGACTTTTCCGAAGTCAGTGTGGGTGTTGCTGAGGGAAGCTCGGGCCCTGGGTGTGAAAGCTCAGGCTGACTCTTCTGCTTTGTCTTCTGATTGCAAAACGGAGAGGCAGGGCTCTGATACCTCCTGACCCTTTCCCACCTTGCAAAGGGACTCAGCTCTCCACAAAACAATGAATGACCGTAATCATGCCATTTTACAGAGGAGGCTCTGAAACACACTCTGGCTCCTGTGCTCACTCGCTCCAGCCTCAGGCTCTTTCTGGCCGGTTCCAGTAGATGATAGATAGCTCCCTTCAGTGACCCCAGAATGTTGGCGGCAGGTTGCAAACATTTCCAGCTACTTCCCGCCGTTCCACGTCTCTGGAAAGCTACGTAAGAGACCCAAGGGCTGTGATCTTTTTGTGGTATGGTCATCAAGTTCACTGTAAATGGATCTTAGTTCTGCCTTGTGTAGGTAGGCTCGTGGCTGGGTTTTGATCTATGCAGCAGCTAACACTTAAGCTAGCATTGGACACATAGTAGGTACTGCCTTATTTAGGGTTTCTATTGCTGTGAAGAGACACCATGATCACAGCAACTCTTATAAAGGAAAACATTTTTTTTTGTTGTTGCAATTTTTTTTTTTTTTTTTTTGGTTTTTCGAGACAGGGTTTCTCTGTGTAGCCCTGGCTGTCCTGGAACTCACTCTGTAGACCAGGCTGGCCTCGAACTCAGAAATCCACCTGCCTCTGCCTCCCAAGTGCTGGGATTAAAGGCGTGCGCCACCACTGCCCAGCACAAAACTTTTTTCTTAAAGAGTCATTTATTCGTTTAATGCATATTAGTACACTGTTGCTGTCTTCAGACACACCAGAAGAGGGCATCGGATTCCATTACAGATGGCTATGAGCCACCGTGTAGTTGCTGGGAATTGAAATCAGGACCTCTGGAAGAGTAGTCGGTGCTCTTAACTGCTGAGCCATCGCTCCAGCCCAAAGGAAAACATTTAATTGGGGCTGCCTTAAAGTTCAGAAGTTTAGTCTGTTATCATCACGGCAGGAAGCATGGCGGCTTGCAGGCAGACATGGTGGTGGAGAGGTAGTTGAGAGTTCTACATCTAGATCCGTAGGCAGCAGGAAAAGATTGCAACTCACTGGGGCCTGGCTTGAGCATCTGAGACCTCAAAGCCCATCCCAGTGACATGCTTCCTCCAACAAGGCCACACCTCCTAATAGTGCCACTCCCTATGGGCCATTTTTATTCAAGCCACCACAGGTATTCAGTCGATATCTGTCATTGTAAGCATGACAGAGAAAACCCGTGAGACACTTAGCATACAGCCTTGACCTCTGGCTGACAACTAATGTCCGCCTGAAGAAGGCAGATAGTTCTGGATCTATGGATGAACGAGCTCCAGGAGAGGTTAATGAGGGCTTCTGTTATTTTTCTGTTGCTATAATGGCTACGTTGTGGAGGGGTCATTCCGTGACTGAGAGTCCTTGTTTAGGGCTCATGGTGGCGTGTCGTAGGCAGGGTGCATGGTGAAGGAAGCTGCTCCCCTCAGGTGTGAGAGAGACAGACAGAGGCTACGATCTCACAGTCCTCTCCAAAGACAGGTACCCAAGGATCTAACTTTCTCTAGAACCCATCTCTTCCAGGATCTATCACCTCCAGATAGCTCCCCGTGGCTGAGAGCAAGCCTTCAGCACTGAGGCTCAATCCACAGCAAAGACTTTATTTGTGAAACAGTCTTGTCTTCTGGTTCTGGAGAATGGGGAGGGGGGAGGAAGGGGGGAAGGATGGAGGGGGCTGGGATGACGCAAGAGGCTTTGTCTCTGTACTACCAGATGCTTACAACCTGGAAGAAAACGCAACTCTTGAAACTCCTCAGCCTTTGTCCTGTCGCCTGGGTCTCCCAAATGAGTTCAGATCACTGCAGGTGGATTTCCTGTTTCTCAGAGGGAAGAAGGTGCCTCCTGCTGTGCTGATCCATGAGAGGTACCTTGCTGGCAGTTCTCAGCCCAGATTCCTCTCCTCCACTCCACCCCACCCCCACCGTGCTCCCACCTACCCTCGCCTTTTGGAACCGGAAAAGAATCCAAGAGCTTGGCTAGCTGAGAGTTTCCACCACAGGCTCTCATCTCCCCGGGGCGTCTTCCTTTTGTGAATTCGGAGCAGGCTGGCTGTGTAGCGTCTGAGGATCGTCTGAGGCTCGTCTGAGGCTCAGATCCTCTGGTCTCTGGGGTCACCTGGTACGGGGCTTGGGAGCAGCCAATGGAAGGATTGCTGTCGGGTGGGGGGCAGCTTTGAAGGCTCACGAAGAGCTTCAGATGTCTGCGACGGTTGTTCTTGGATCCTCATTCTCTGGATTGTTCAGGGATCTCTAGAGTTAACAGACCTTATGGAATGTCTGTACATACTAAGGGAATTTATTGTCATTGATGTGTTTATAAAAAGACAAAGAGATATAGGATATGTTCTATAGGGGTGTGGTGAGGTATGGGGTGAAGGGGATGTTGCGGTGGGCCCGTGCTGAGGCATCTCTTCCACTTGAGGGACCAGTCACATGACGGTATAATATAGAATAGAGTTTATTCAGGGCACGAGGAGGGGAGTTAAGAGAGTAGTAGAGGCAGAGAGAGAGAGTAGAGAAGTATAGGCTGGCCATGAGCACGGGGAGAGAGGGGGGAAGGGAAGGGGTGAAGGGACAAAGGGATCAAGAGATTGAGCAAGAGAGCAGATCAAGAGAGAGAGGAGGGGGCAAGCAGCCCCTTTTATAGTGGGCAGGCCGACCTGGCTGTTGCCAGGTAGCTGTGGGGCGGAGCATACCTGGCTGTTGCCAGGTAACTGGGGGTGGAGTTTAGACAGAATGCTAACCGGAATGACTTACAGTCTGTAGTCCAATTAACCCAACAATGGGCAGCTGTGAATGGGAAGTCCCAGAGTCTAGTAGTTGCTCAGTCCCTTGAGGCTAGTTGTTTCAGCTGGTCTTCTGTAGAAGAGGGTTCCAACAGATGTGTTGGCAAGTAAGTGCAAACAGGAGAAGAGTGAGTCTTCCTTCTTTCAATGTCCTTATGTAGGCCTTCAGGGGAAGGTGTGGCCCAGATTAAAGGTGTGCACCACCATGCATAGATCTGGGACTTGCTTTGTCCCAGGCTGACTTTGAACTCAGAGATCTCAGTCTTCTGGGATTAAGGGCCTGTACTACCTACCTTGCCTGGGCCTAAGCTTTCCATGGCCAGTAGACATCAAGATCTCCATGCCAAGATTTAGGTTAGAAACTTGTGTCTTCCAGCCTCAAGATCTGGATCACAGGTGAGCCCTCCAATTCTGGCGTGTAGCCCATTCCAGATATAGTCCAGTTGAAAACCAGGAGTAGCCACGACACCCTCCTTGGCTGATAGATTCATCCAGTACTGGAGCCAGAGCCATGTGAGGTTTGACCCCACCTACACTTCGAGAGAATAGGGTTCAATGAGCAGTGTGGTGGTTTGAATACGCTTGGCCCAGGGAGTGGCACTGTTATGAGGTGTGGCCTTGTTGGAGTGGGCGTGGCCTTGTTTGAGTGGATGTGGTCTTGTTGGAGTGGGTGTGGCCTTGTTAGAAGAAGTGTGTCACAGTGGGTGTGGGGCTTTGAGACCTTCTTCTTAGCCATGTGGGAGACAGTCTTCTCCCTTTTGCCTTTGGAATAAGATGTAGATAGAACTCTCAGCTCCACCAAGGCTGTGCCTGCCTGGACACTGTCAAGCTACCCACCATGATGATAATGGACTGAAACTCAGAATCAGTAATCCAGCCCCAATTAAATGTCCTTTATGAGAGTTGCCTTCAACATGGTGTCTCTTCACAGCAATGAAAACCCCAAGAGAGGCAGTGCATGGAGATAGGGGCAGGGACACACTGGCAGCTGTTTCCTTGATAAAGAGAGGGTCCGTTGTGAAGATTCTCCAGGGAGTGGTGGGTCCTGAAGGTTAGGCACAGGGATCTGTCTCATGCTTCCCTCTCCCATGATTCTCCTGACAGCATGGGAGCAGCCACTCACTTGGGCCATGAGAGGAGTCTCCGGGCCAGAGTAAGAAGCCATCTGAATATCAAGGGTCCTCTGACCCCTGAGCGGCGGCAACAAAGGAGGGGGAACTTTGGGATTGGTTGCATAGATCTCGCAGAGGGACCTCAGCCAGCTGAGCCACTGACTACCCCACATAAACACGCCAACACGCTCAGTAACTGCTCAAGTCCTGTCTCGCCAGGGCCAAGATGGAATCTGTGGCAGACGTGTCTGGTCAGCAACCAC